ATAGATAAATAGACAGACAGACAGATAGATAATCACAACATATCACTTATTAGCTTACAGTTTCACATAGAGAAAGCATCATCTGAGAGAAAAGAAGTTGGAATACTGCTCTTATATGCCTCCCTAGCACTGCCTTTGGATTTGCTGTGCTATCTAGGCATATGACTTTACTCTCATGACAATATTCTTCATGACAGTATTCTTCAATCAAACAATATACTCCTCCAAGCCTGATCTGATAAATACTAACAGTATTTGTCCACAACACCTTAGTGTAATGACTCAGTGTAGCTTAACAAGCTACATAATGAATGAGCTTTAAAATCTTAAATAACCAGGAGCCAATGGTTCATACCTGTAATCCTACTCAGGAAGCTGAGATCCAGTTCAAAGCCAGCCAGGATGAATAGTTCACAAGAATTTATCTCCTGTTAGCCAACAAAAAAGCCAGGCTGGAGCAAACAAGCCCAGCAAATGGGAGGACCTGAATTGAAAACCTAATACTAGTTTTGTTTTTTGTTGTTTTTTTTTTCTTTTTTTTTGGTCGTCATGGGACTTGAACTCTGAGCCTAGGTACTATCCCTCAGTTCTTCAGCTCAAGGCTAGTGCTCACCACTTGAGCTACAGTGCCACTTTCGGTTTTTTGGTGGTTTATTGGAGATAAGAGTTTCACGGACTTTCCTGCCCAAGCTGGCTTTGACCCGAGATCCTCAGATCTCAGCCTCCTGAGTAGCTAGGATTACAGGCGAGAGCCACTGGTACCCAGCTTAATACTAGTTTTTGACAAGAAAAATATCTGAAAAAAGGCTGCAAAAAAGATTTTAAAATTTAATAGCAGTGTTGACAAAAAAAAAATAGGCAGATTCAGGAGCTGGAAAGTTGGCTCAGTGGTAGAGCGCTTGCCTTGCATGCCTGAGGCCCTGGGTTCGATTCCTCAGCACCACATAAGCAAAAAGAAAAAAGCCGGAAGTGGCGCTGTGGCTCAAGTGGTAGAGCACTATCCTTGAGCTGAAGAGCTGAGGGACAGTGCCCAGGCCCAGAGTTCAGGCCCCACAACCGGACCAAAAAAAAAAAAAAAATAGGCAGATTCACATTGCTGACACAAATACAAGTTCGTAAACCTCTATGAAAATACAGCAATATTTACTGTTATAAACACACAAAAAACAAAAGAACATATAAGGCATGTATGTATATAAATGCACAAACATTCCAGAAGGACAAACAAGAAGCTACCTTTGGGAAGGTCACTTGATAGAGGGAAAAGGATAGACTTTCCACTCTCTCACTACCTTTTGAACTTTGTTTCATTCATTGTTTTGGGGTTTTTTGTTGGTGTTTTATTTTGTTTTGGTCAGTCATGGGATTTGAACTCTGGGCTTAGGCACTGTCCCTCAGCTCTCAGCTCTCAGCTCAAGGCTAGCGCTCTACCACTTCAGTCAAAGCACCACTTCCAGTTTTCTGGTGGTTTATTGAAATTAAGAGTCTCACGGAAAGCTGGGTGCTGGTGGCTTATGCCTATAATCCTAGCTACTCAGGAGCCTGAGATCTGAGGATCCTGGTTCAAAGCCAGACTGGGCAGGAAAGTCCAGGAGACTCTTATCTCCAATTAACCACCAGAAAGCCGGAAGTAGTGTGAGTGGTAGAGTGCTTGCCTTGAGCTGAAGTGCTCAGGGACAGCACCCAGGCCCAGAGTTCAAGCCCCACAACCAACAACAGCAACAACAAAGAGTCTCATGGGCTTTGCTGCCCGGCTGGCTTTGAACCGTGATCTTCAGATCTCAGCCTTCTGAGTAGCTAGGATTATAGGTGTGAGCCACCGGCACTTTGCTTCATTCATTGTATTTGTGATTTTTTAGCAATACGCTCCCTATTGGACAGCAAATCTAGCTAGGGTAGAGAGACTGGGGGTTATGGCTCAAGTGGTAGGACATCTGTCTACTAATCAAAAAGGCCCAGAGTTCAAAACTCCAGTGCCACTAATAAAGAAAAGAAGGTTTACTCACTTGATCTTGAAGTGTGATTTTAAAACAAAACAAGGGGGGCTGAGAAGGTGGCTCAGTGGTAGAGCGCTTGCCTTGCATGCATGAGGCCCTGGATTTGATTCCTCAGCACCACATAAGAAAAAAGAAAAAAGCTAGAAGTGGCGCTGTGGCTCAAGTGGTAGAGCGCCTTGAGCTGAAGAGCTGAGAGACAGCGCCCAGGCCCAGAGTTCAGGCCCCATGACCGGACCAAAAAAAAAAAAAAAAAACCAAGGGTCTATACTAATATAAATTATTTAATACTTGTCTTAATAATTGTAAAAGCATTTTATGTTTCTGAACCACCAAAATTTTAAATGAGTTCACTGAATTCAGAGATGCAATATTTGCAGATAAGAACGATGTATCCTAGATGACAGAAGCCTACTGAGATAGACATTTTTTACTTCAACAGTTTCACTTCTAGAATTTACCAGAACCTGATCCAAGTCTGGATCCAGGAAACATGAAATATTTCTACCTACCAAAGTAGCCACTATAAAGACTGCTTGAAAGGGAGAAATCATCAAAGTACCAAATAAACACCATCTACTCTGATCCTAAGTGTGGTATTGTCACAACAATTTATACTTCTCAGTGTCATACAAGGGAAAATATGAGTGTCCAGCTCTTTCTTGGCCTACAGGATAATATATGCAACCCAAATCCCTGTGTTTCCTGTGTCATCTCTTGGTTCCAACTGCAACATGGCAACAGGAAATGACACAAAAGACAGCTAACCACATAAAGGCCAGGCTTAAATAAGGAAGTGAAATATACGTATACACCTATCTACATATATAATGTACATGTATATATGTTCATATTATACACATACACATGTATAGACACATTTTAAGACTTAAGAACTAAGACCATAGAGTTAAGTCAAGAATAGCAGCCAATGGGGGCTGGGAATGTGGCTTAGTGGTAGAGTACTTGCCTACTGCCTAGCAGGCATGAAGCCCTGGGTTTGATTCCTCAGCACCACGTTAACAGAAAAAGCAGGAAGTGGTGCTGTGGCTCAAGTGGTGCTAGCCTTGAGCAAAAGAAACTCAGGGACAGTACTCAGGCCCTGAGTTCAAGCCCCAGGACTAGCAAAAAAAGAAAAGAAAAAAAAATGGCAGCCCAAACTAAGCCTGTGAAAATACTAAAGAAAGAACACAAATAAGAACACAAAAGGAAATAGACAATAAGGTTTCCTGGCTGGCATGGTGGTATATGCCTATAATCCTAGCTCCCTGAGAGGAAGAGCAGGAGGTTTAGCCCTGGGCAAAAAAGTTATTAGCAAGACCTCTATCTCAACAAACAAGCCAGGCATAGTGACTCACATATACAACCCCAGCCACTTGGAAGGCAAAGGCAGGAAGATCCTGGTCTGGGTACTCCTGGGAGGGAGAGTGGGGGAACTTGAGTTCTTACCTTAAAAAAAAAAAATCACTAGATTTTTAGCAACAGGCAATTGGACAGCAAATCTAGTTAGGGTAGAGAGACTGGTGGTTATAGCTCAACTGGTATTAATTAAAAGGCCCTGAGTTCAAAACTCCAGTACTTTTCTTCTTTTACTTCTTCAACTGGGAATTTCCCATTCCCAGTTGTCCTGTTAAGAGACAGAGTTGGCCAGTATAACTAAAAAACACAAAATATGTTCCACCCTTCTCCTGCATATCCCCAAATAAAAATTTATTCAACAAACCTTTTGCCTATGCTTATCTGTTTATCTGTTCTGGTGGAACAGAAAGGATGCAGCAGTTCCCCAAAGTGACTACACAGCTGCAAATTAAAAGAAATTAAAAGACCAAGCACAATCTGCCAACCAAAACCTCAGCCTGGTTCACTGAAATATGACTGCGCTTTACAGTCATTTTTGTTATGTGCTCACGTGAAAGAAACAAGACTCACATAATTTAAAATTAAAAGCTCCACTGGGAGAATTTATTGCCCATCAGTTGAGACAGCCTTTTCTTTATTTGTATATATGATGGTTACACAATATTAATAATGTGCAGCTTAAACATAAGTGCTAAAAATATTTGACTAAAAACATGAAAAAAGTGGCAAACAGGACACACAAAGTTGACGTAGTACAAGAGAATTCTGACGTCTTGATTTACAGTTTATGGCCCCTAATCCTTAAACTATACGTGCTTCCTTATCTAGTTCTGTGGAGGTAATTTAGAATTTTAGCTCTCTCAACTTAGTTTCTTTTTCATTAAACTTAGAAAGGCTATCAAAATCCCCTACCAGAATAAATGAGTTGAGGCACTTACTCTTAAATTTAAGGGAAGTTCTGAACTAAAAGTACATGATGATGGGAGTGGAGGAAAGGAAAGTAATCCTAGAGCTGCAAGTTGCAATGACAGTTTCAAAAGAAGGGTCAGCGTGGGACACGTTGGCTCCGGGAGGCGTTGGTAGCCTGGGAGTCTCTAGGGCAACATCAGATGCAAACAGTGCTTTGTCCTTAAGTCCCTCACATAATTTAAATTCCCCCTCTCGGACAGGAGCAACAGGCTCACTATTGGACAGCAAATCTAGTCTACTGCCAGGGAAGGAGGCGGGCGCGTGGTCGAGGAGCTCTTTATCCCGCAGGTCCCCGCAACACTGAGCTGCGCATGCGCCTGGAGGCAGCGACCAGGCACCGGGTGCTCTCTCTCTCCCTTTCGCGCCTGCGCAGTCACCCATCTCGCCGCAGGCGACAGCTCACTATTTGGCAAGGGGGATGGGGCTGGGAAATGATTGGGGGGGGGGAGCTAAAGCAGGAGGCGCGTTTGTGTTTCTTGAATGCTTGGGATAGGAAGAAGGGACGCTTGACTACGCTCTGGCTTTCGCAGGCTACTAAACCCAGGGAAATGGGGCAGAGAATGTATGTGTGTGTTGTGGGTGGGGGAAACATTCGGGGTCAGTCACCTCATAAGGGAGGCCCCCCGACCCCGACGGGAACCCCCACCTCCCTCGACTTTCTTCCCCTCCCCCACTCACCTGAGAGCGGCGGCGACAGCTGCTGGTCCCCGTCCCCTTGAGCTAGCTTCATACTGTCCGCAACATCCGGGACCTGCGGGACCGCCGATACACAAATACACACACTCGGAGCGCGCACACTCACACACACATACACACACACACTCACACACATACACACCGACACACACCGGCCGGGGCGTCCTGGCGTCAGCACGTAGACGCAGCGAGCGTGTACCCGCCGGGCCCCACCCCGCGCGGCCTCCTCCCCTGTTTCTTTCCCTTCCCCTTCCCGGGCTCTTCTGCCCCGCCTCTTTCTTTAAGACTCCGCCTACTTGTCCTAGTGCGCATGCGTCCTTCCCGGGGCCTTTCCAGAGCCCCAGGATTTGAGCGGAGGGTGGGGCTTGGGTAGAAAGAGGCGGGAACTGGAAAGGGGTCGCGTGCGCGGCGAAGGAGGCAATGCGGAGGTGCGAGGCCTGAACAGATGCCAGAGCCGCCCAGGGTCCGAGTGGACAGCGGCAAAATAAAGGTATTTCACAACAGAAACTTTCCAAGCTGTTTAATGATTACCAACGGCCTTCGGATGAATCTGCTCTCTTTTTCTAAGCCAACCCTCTGTATTGTTGAACTTTTATGGCCATGTCAGAAACTTTTTAATGAACCTTTCAAAATCTACCATTTGGGAAACGAGAACAAACAGGACCATTCTTCCTAAGGAAATCGGGGTGTCTAGATGTCCTTAACTGAAAGGAAGCCGATTCAAGGACAATTTGTCGTCCTGGATACCCGAGTCCTCAGCTGGCCTCACATCTTAGCTCCCATGGGCCAGAAGTGGTTCCCAAGCTGAGAAAAGGAAAATCTCCGAGCATCTTGGCCCTGGGAGAAATTAAAAAAAAAAAAAAAAGTACCTGCATTGAACAATAATGTCAGCATTGGATATTTGTTATTGCTACCGTTCTTTTCTTTAACGTGAACTCTATGAAAATAATTAATTCCTACTGAATCAAGCCCGATAGTCTCAAACAGGCAATGTCTCTCTTCCATACTAAGATAATATCACTTCAATAATATACAAACGGGCATAGCATTGAACAAGCATAATGTCATGGAGTGATCTACTGTGGGCCCTGCCTTGGGAACAGCTTCCGGAAGCCTTGCTGCTCTAGGCCTGTGGGATTGTCTCCAGGAGACAGGGCTTGCTGCCTCTTGCCACATGCAGCCAGGTGGCTGGTGAGCCTGTTCAGCAGGGAAGGCTGGCAGCCCACGAACAAAGCCACAGGGGTTTAGAGAAAAACTTGACTGCCAGGTGTCTCCCACTTTCAGCTACAAAAGTAAATCTATAATCCCACAGTTGAAATTTCCCTAGGAATCCTGGTCAAGACATTCCAAAACTACGAAAGTATACACAACCTGTGTTTCAGACAAAGTGACTTTTATTGTAAATGAAGAACCTAAATGCTCCTATGATGTGTTTACTGTGTGTACTCCACTTTAAGGCAAAAAGTGTTTTTGTCACCTATTAGGCAGACACCTGAAACTTTCTCATTAGAATTCACCTATCATCTTTATCAACAGACATTCATTCCTTTAGCCAGAAAGATTTTTGGGAAAATTCAGAATGCCCCACAATGACCCAGAAACCTGTTACTATGAACTGGTTCCTGTTGTCACTGAGGTTGTTTAACTACACATTTTTTGGCTTTAGATTTCCTAGGAAGACAGAAGAAAAAAAAAAAAGATTTAAAAGGCAGAAGAAAGAAAAAGATAACCCTGGAAGGAAGAAAAGTGGAAGTGGGGTCACAGGGGTACAGAAAGAGCTGGAGACAGAGAGTCCTGCTTTAGTTTCCTCATAGTTGAGGCAGACTTTGCTCAGAATCTGGGAGGGAACACCTCTGGGCAAGGACTCTGTGCCAGCAGCTTGCATAGACTGGACTTGAATCCCCAGTGACCTGGAAGGACTTGAGAGGTCCTAGGCTCATCTGTAACCCTGTGTGAAGTGTCTCCCATTTTACTTTGGGGGCTATATCACTCACCTGAGAAATGATCCCACCAACCTCTGTACAAAGGGCTTTGATTTGCCATGCAGCTGATTAAACGATTGTAGATGTCCTTGGAAGCACTATGTGGAAGAATTTTAAACAGCTTCTCCTTTTTAATATGCACTTCCTCTTTGGTTTTAATTATTTTGTTCCTACATTTTCCCTTTCAATTTACTAAAAATCTAGAAATGTAATTAGAGCAGAGGCCGGGCTCAGAGAAAGCTGCCAGGATTTCTACAGCATGATTAAATATACCAGACATCCCTTTAGTGAAGGACTAAAAAATAAGATTCTCATTATTATCTTTCCCTTATCCAGGAAAGAATCGGCATCACGTACAGATACGGATTTATTGAAAATGCAGCACTAATTAAAAACTTACCCAGCCTCTTGACGAGGGGGGGGGGGCACAGTTATTTCATTATTTCCTCCATTTAATGTTTTGTTGTTATAACCACTACAAGCCAGAAGCCCTCCTCACTCCTCTTTCCTCAAAATAAAATTCTTCTTTCCTCATGAGGGACTTAATGAGGCTTTTATCTATGCAACAACAATCAAGCTTACAATGGCACAGATTCAATTCACTGTTCCTGGTGTTGGTGGGAAGCATGAAGAACTCATTTTCTTAATCCAAAACACAAATGACAAAGTGTTCATTGGCCATCATGTGCCAGGTCTGAACAAGGGATCTGTACCCAAAGACCCCAGGATATCTGGTATTTATTCTGCCAACCAGGATCTTTGGCTCTGTTTTACAGTCCAGTAAGAAAAAAAAAAAATATGGTTTTCCCTTGAAGCTAAGGGGAATGTGGAGGCAGCAGGCCTGAAAAGTACAAATGCCTATTTTGATTACCAATACTTTAGAAAGATAAGTCTTTGTTCTCTGTACAGCTCTTTTGTTGAGCAGTCAGTAGCTGACAGAATTGGCCCTGGCACAATGGTTGCTGTGGTAGAGCCCTTTGTGGACACTGGAGATGGATATACAAGATGAAAGACCCTCTTGAAGGTCTGTACTCTACACATGTCCAATCTACAAGAAAAAAAAGAGGCAAGCTGGGCACTATTGGCTCATATTTGTAATCCTAGATACTGAGGAGGCTGAGATCTGAGGATGGAGGTTTGAAGCCAGCCCAAGAAGAAAAGTTTATGAGACTTCTATCTCCAATTAACCACAAAAAAAAACTAGAAATGGAGGTGTGGCTCAAGAGGTAGAGCACCAGCCTTGAGCAAAAAAGCCAAGTAAGAGCACAAGTCCCTGAGTTCAAGATGCAGTACTTGCAAAAGAGAGAGAGAGAAAGAAAAGAGAGAGAGAGAGAAAGAAAGGAAGGAAGGAAGGAAGGGAGGGAGGGAGGGAGGAAAAGAGAGAGAAGAAAGGAGAGAGGGAAAGAGAGAGAAAGAGAGATGATATGGTGATATGTCCAGGGGCATAGGTATAAGACCATATACAAAGAAACAATAAGAACCTAATGAGGAAGGCAAGCTGGGCCATGATGAGTTAATAGAAAATTGGCAGTGAACAAATTTCTATTGATTGATCATATTTTGTGAAGAAGCTGTGGTTTGCCTGGAAACTCAAGTTCAAACCAAGCTACTAACACTATAATATAAGCAAGGATAGCTTATATATTCTATTATATCGATGGTTCATGTCTGTAATCCTAGCTACTCAGGAGTCTGAGATCTGAGGATCACAATTCAAAGCCGGCCCAAGACAGGAAAGTCCAAGAGACTCTGATCTCCAACTAACCACCAAAAGGCCAGACATGGAACTGTAGCTGCAGTGGAGTAATAAACTCAGGGACAGCTCTCAGATCCTGAGTTCAAGCCCAAATAAATAAAGCAAAAACAAACAGGAAAAAAAAAAAGAAATACAATTTTCCTCCCTCCTCACCTATCTCTCCAATCACAGAACAAGGGAGAAGATAATCCCCACCTTATCATATATGACGTGAGGCTAAACTGAAATTATGTTTGAACATAGCACCTAACATAAATAGGCCTACTTATTTATGGGCGTGCCTTTGAATGTGGATTTGGGTCTTTAGTCCCTACTCTCATATGAACCATGCTTATTTCTCTCTGAGCCATTTATTTATTTAACTAGTACTGAGGCTTGAACTCAGGGCCTGGGCACGGTCCTTTGGGGTTTTTGCTCAAGGCTAGCACTCTACCACTTGAGCCACAGCTCTATTTCCAAACTTTTAGTAGTTAATTGGCAATAAGAGTCACACCTACTTTTCTGCCCAGGCTGGCTTCCAAACAGGATTCTCAGATCTCTGCCTCTTGAATAGCTAGGATTACGGGCATGAGATAGGATTACAGGCCCCTCTTGAGCCTTCTTTAGAATTCTCCAGGAGGCATGGAGTCAACACAGACTTCTCAGCTAGAGCACTGTTGCCCCTTGGACAAGCTGTTTGCTCTTGGACCCAGTTTCCTGACATATTAGCCAGAGTTCCTGGTTCCAAGAACCACAACACCTCAGGTTACATGAACCAGAACTGGAACTTACTATAGAAATATTGTATTGCTGATTTCCAGAACTGACAGGAACCAAAGAACCAGATTTGGAAATTCAACTGGAAGCCAAGGGCTGGTGGGGGAAGAACAACAAGCTCCTTTAGTGGGACAGTCTGGTGAGGAAGTCTAAATGTTTGTCGTGCCCACAAAATGCCACAAGACACAGCTCCACTGGTAGGTCACACTGCAAACTCCAAACCCCAGGAGGCAGAATCCTATTGGCTAATCCTAGGCCACATCCTTTGTCCTGACTACCAATGGGAGCTATGAGGACCAGCCTCACTGTGGTGGTGTATGAGGGCAAGGTCCATCCAGGCCTCTTGTGCATTCAGTTTTCTTCAGCTGGGACTCAGCCCCCAAACAGGAAGTAGATCAGAAACAGGACCAACCAATTTCCCTATCTTATCAGTGAACTGGGCCTTTCATCACAGGGAAATAAAACAGCACTGATTGACATATTTGTTCAGAAGTGCTTGGCATATAAAAGGCAGTCTGTCATTTTACTTCCTCTTTAATAAAACAAGAGGTTCAGAATAATGTTCTTACCTGGGTATTTGATTTCAATATGCTTTTAGATATTGAAGTTTTGAGTTTTTAACCTAAGAAAATGACTGAGAATCAGGGTATCTGAAGGGCAGGGTGCCAGGAAAAGAAAAAGCAGTAAGAGAGCAAAGGAAATGGTCTAATTAAATTTTACTATTTGA